ATCTTTAAGCCGAAGACAAATCCAATGCACACGGACTTCGAGCGCAGCCTCTGTAGACAGAAGTTCTTCGACATCTCTTGTCTAGGTTGGGTTTCAACGGCCGCTTTGAGTAGTTGTGCGCTTTTGCCAGCAGCTTCGTGTAGAGCCCGGATGAAATTTGCAAAGCCACACGTCTCGAGATCCAGCAGAGTCTTAGGAACATCGTTGTGAAGATGCATCGTTTGGACCATGTTTGGGCCGATGCGATGCTAATCCTAAACCCCAAAAACGAAATCTAGCCTAAACCCTAAACCCGAACCAAATCTACCTCATAATCTTTACTGCTTCGCAGACCTCCCATGAGGCTTTGCACCGGAGCACAACCTCGCAAGTCCCGCAACCCAGACCACCGGCAAGATCTAGAAAAGTAGATCCCCATGGGTTTAGGGTTTAGGTCTCTATAAAGAGCTTTTGGTATAGGCTCCCTAAATTAGGGGATCTACTTTTTGGATTTCTTCCGGGGTCCGGGTACATCCAGCGAACTACAAAGCACCACCGTCGCCTGGGTAGTTCTCTAAATTCGGGTCCCTTTTTATGCTTCTTTTTCTCAGGGTGCCGTCTAAAACTTGAACCTCTTCCCTATCAGCCCTGAGCCCTAGGCCCCCTCAATTCAGAGAGCTACCCATGTCTAATCTAGGGGCCTTAATAACTAGAATAGGGTCTTGAGGCCCATTATACTATATTTATAGCAAGGAACCACAAAAAATATACAAAGGTAATTCTTGAGGCCCCTAAATGAAAACTTAAACCTAGGACCCCCAAAAATAATATAGGTACTTCTTGAGGCGCCTACATCAAAACCTAAACCTCCTCCTCCCGAAGCGCTCCGGAGTCTCGTGCCGAAGGCGATGGCAGGAGACCAACCAGCAAGCCATCAGCTTGATGATGACTCACGGATGCAAGGGTTTAGGGTTTAGGGTTCAAGGTATAGGGTTTAGGGTTTAGGGTTTGGGTTTGGGGTTTAGGGTTCAAGGTTTAGGGTTTAGGGTTCAAGTTTTAGGGTTTAGGGTCAAGGCACATCAAGCCCGACAATCCCGGAATCCTTCAAAGTCAAAAAGTCCGAAACCAAGGTTTAGGGTTTAGGGTTCTTAGGGTTTAGGGTTTGGCTTTAGGGGTTGAGGGTTTAGGGTTCTTAGGGTTTAGGGTTTGGGGAACTCAACTCGTCCATAGCACACCGCCCTGAGTCACGCCGCCCTGACTTCCAGCTTCTGAATTGCCCGAAGCCTAGATTGTAGGGAAAACTCAACCCTTCTTTAAAAAGACCATCAAACCCGAATCCACTACCATTATCGCACGAAAGCCCATGGGGCGCCAGCGTCAAAAACATCTTCCCAGAACCTAACTGCTAAGGCTCCCTGAGCCTCTGGGTAGTTACAAACTCGGTATCTCAGACACAACTCAGAGAACCCAATGCCTTTTAGTTAAGGACTATATGACTGTACCTTAAATCATGATGTTAAGTATATTCCTTAATTAAGGTGTATTGGGCTCTCTGGGAACCCCTCTAGCAGCACAACCTCCCCCGCACTCCGAACCCTCGCAAGTTGGAACGTGTCACCTCATGCCACGGTTTAGGGTTTAGGCTTGAGGGTTTAGGGGGGTTTAGGGGTTTAGGGTTTAGGGTTTTGAGATCCGTGGAAGCCGAGGAAAATGCTTAAGGTGGATCCCTCGGAGCGCCTCACAGCGTATCGTGGCAACCGTTACTTGAAGGTTCATGGGTGGCTAGGGGAGTACTGCCATAAGTTATAAGGATTTAGGGTTCCAAGACCTTGTTTGAGGTTAGAAGCAGTTGCAATGTAGTATGGTTTCATAGATTTCAAAATAAAAGCTATAACATATCCCTGCGACCGGTTCTGGTGCAGCATTTTACCTTCGTTCCATGTGACTGTTGATGCGACCGGTAGTCTGTACGGCCAGAGACATGGTCTCCTTACAGTGGTTTTTGACAGTTGGTCCTTTCCATCTGCGGCGCCATGGTCAGCAGCAGTCGTTTGATTGTTGTATGGAAGTTGCAACACCTGCTGATTGAGCGAAAGTGTGCAAACTTGTGGTTGCGATAAATGTGGATGCGATTGCTGATGTGTAGCAGCGGAAGCGTTGTTCTCAAGACTCAATGATGTTATCGTGGTTCATCTTACAGTTTCCCATTTCTGAGGAACACATCAGAATTCTTAAGCGCTCGTTGTGTATCCCTTACGGAAACATCCCTTATACAACATCTTTCAAACCCCCTCGCGGGACCCTTGCCCCTAAATCTTAGACCCTAAACCCCAACCCCAAGCACTCAACCCTGATCCCTGAGCCCCTGAAGCCTAAACCCCAAACCCCTAAACCCCCCAAGCCC